CGGTTGTAACTGCATAAATGATACGCCTCGGAGGGAATTTTTTGTAGTCATCTGAATTGTTATCATTTGTCCTTTCGGCCGTTTTCTATGTCTCTAATGTGTTCTATCTGACAGCGAAAATCGTCTCTTTGATTTTCGAGCTGACAAGTGTCTTTTTTAAAACCGAAACTGACAAAATTAATTGCTTCGATCTAAAATAATAACTCCCAATTTGGTTCGTTTTTGAATAAACGCTGTTAATCATCATAATTGACGCATCATCCGGTCAATTTAACTGCATCGAGTTCGTTTCGTCATACCAAAAATACAAGCCACTCTCTTCAAATGGCACATAGTTGTGATTTTGCTGGCATTGAAAAATTTTGTGATTTTGCTGGCATTGAATTCCATTTCTTTCGATTGGAGGTGGGAAAATGATTTTTGTGGAGAAGCAATGCTACAGTGGTTCTAATGTAATGTTTGCTTAGTGCGATTTTTAATTCTTACATAGGTCAAATATTCAGTCAAAACATGAAAATATAAAAATTTGGTTAAGACGTAAAAAGAAATAGTTAACAAAGTTTGAGTGCCGTCTCAAGGACACAAATGATGTTGCTACCTTTCACAGCGACGCCCAGAGTTTGGGTTTCAATGCGGCTGGAGAGATATTTTAAAAAGTTCCAGCTGGTTTCACCTATGCCTCCAAGCTTCTCGACTGCAACAGGTTCAGAGAATTTTCTAGCTGAGTATAATAACTGCACTATCTATCCTCTGCTATGTCAGCGATAACTGGGCCTTTTTTGTTTTCCTGCGGCGATATTGGTTGCCGCAAGTATGTTGACGCATGTTACTTCCCAGGCAATGAATTTGTCACTTTTCCAGGGTAACAGAGTGGTGCCGTCCGGTCGTCGTCCGTCATAAAAGAGGACGCCAGTAGGTTCAAGTTTGATGGGAACTTGGCGGAATTGAAAGCGTCATCGATTACTTCATTGCACATGGTGTGTCTTGTGCGAATCTTGAGGTGATAAGCGGGCAGACCAGAGCATGCGTGCCAAAGGAACCAGAGTGATTTGACGGCAGAGCCTTAAGCCAATCTCCTGCTCCTCGCCAGTTGACCCCTGGTAGACGAGATTCTTAAAGATCAGTTGCAGATTGTTCGTTAACAGATCTCAACTTTGTGGCCGATACTGGCTTTGTCCATTGTTTTTGAAGTGGTTTATTAATTGCAGCAGTTATGTTTGATGTTTCGCCTGCCATTGATTTTCAGACTAATAGCGCCTTTTGGAGAAGGGAATCTGAATAGATATGATCATTAGAAAGTGATGTGGTAAAGGGGGAGCAAAAGAAGAATGATGCAATGAAAGCAGATTGTGCTAAATCGATGGGAGAGTGCAGACCGAGGCCACCAAAGTTGACTGGTAGAGTATTTACAAGCGATGTGCTCATGACTAATTCAATAGCATCTTTCAGGCCGTCATGCATTAATGCTGCATGACAACCTAATTTCAAAACGGTTCTTCACTTTTTCAAGACAGTATAGAGATACGGAATAAAAACAAAAGTTGAAGGATGGCAGAGCATTTTTTAGGGAAAATTTTTGATGTTGTTGCAAAGACGTTTGAATTCTTCAATTTTTCTTGAGCAATGCGGTAATGCTCTTCTTGCCTAATGCTGCTCCTAAAACCGGGATCAACTCAATGCCTGTACACATAGCGTTGAACTTTAAAAGAATTGATACAGTATATTCCCCTTTCGTCGTGAGTTCAAACATGGCGGGCTTGATGGCGAGCCTAAGTTTTCTAGCATCATCGATGAGTTGGAAAATCTTGCAGGCAGTGCTTGAAAGCCAGTAAAAAATCTTAAGGCTTTGTCGGTATCGGAGCACTCGAGTAAACTTCCGGGCCTTTCATTTGCCAACGAAGAGAAAAAAATTAGATTTCGCCGGCCTTTTGGACGCTTTTTGGGGATCGAAGAAGTAAATTCTTCTTTGCGTCGAATTCTTCTTTGCATTTCCCTAGGCAACAGTGTTCACCAATACCTCGTCAAATTCAGTCATCTTTTTCTTGAACGATTATCGCCATCTTCATGGCTTTCCAAGAAAAATCAGATTCGACGCTGGGTCATGTTCTATATCACACGATTTTAAATTTTTTTGTGAAAAATGCAAAAGCCAAAATAATTACTGTACAGTAGGATATAATAGAACAAATGGACTGGTAGAAAGACTTGTATATACCGTAAAATCGAACCTTACTTGCTATGTTGTACAATTTACACAAAAATTACTTTAATTTTCTCAATAGAAACAATTAGTTGGAATTTACAAATTACCAAGCAACCATGCATCGGATGTGCTCCGTTCACAAAACATTTATACCGCACTGCTAATACTAGGTGGAAAAACCTGACTTCGTTGACAATCGTTTAGATCAATGGAAATCGATCTTGTCGGACCATCCGGCGAGGAACTGGGGCCCCATGATAGGGCAGAGGATGGATACCAAGACGCAGACATGGATCTTTCCTCAGACTCAGAAGCGAATCTCCCTCTGGCCAAAATCTCTTCAGGAAACCGGACGACACTGATCCCTGCCGCCCAACGTACACGCCCTTCATTAAAACAAATGACCACCGGAGGTAACCTCTTTAGAAAAAATGACAATCGGAGATACGGAGACCTGTTTTTTAATCCTGTCAAAGAGGCAATCGTTGACTCATCGGAACACACAATTACTCCAAAAAATGGACACATTTTACGAAAATTAGATCTGGAGATCAAAGAAAAATACATCCGAGCCCTCCAGAAACTCTTATTTATCCGCCACCCATGGGTAGCGATCGTGAAAACATGCTAAGTTTAGCTGGAAAATGAAAATGTTGCCACTCAAGAAGGCATTCCGGACGGACACCTTATGAAGGCGACTTCTGGCAACACGACGCCGACTGGCACTCATCAGCTCCCGCCACAAATAGTGATCATTCCAAACTCGTCACAGAAAGTTTCAGGTTCCTCTTTTTTGTCTTCTTCCGTAAATTTAAGTGCTTGGGACGGCTTGATTGATGATTACTTCGGGGACGTTTTGATTGATGATTACTTCGGGGACGTTCCGATGTTTCAGAAAACAGCCACTGATCTTAATTTTGACTTGAGTGTTACATGTGACTGTAAGAACCCGAACCCAGAAACCGAAGAGTTAAGTGTACCGACGGTTGATGCCGAAACAAGCAGACTACTGGAAACATCGACATCTGGTTTGACAGTAGAACCATTTTTTGCTGGATAGCTCACCAGGGAGATGCCCCCTTGGTCGCTCAGATGAGACCCTCATCCAGGTCCAAACGAAATGTAGGACCCCCACAGTTTTACGGGAACCGCAGATACGTTGATAACGTAGAGGAAAACGAGAAGTTATCTAGACTGGAGGCCGACTTAGCGACAGCCCCAGCCTTCCCTTGTTTGTCACCTTCTGACTTCCTCACTCCTCTCACTATATCTTCTCGGAAACAAACTATTGTCGCCGAAACAACGCTTACTTGGTCCTCCAACAGTTCAACTCCAAAGGGGACTGCTCATTCCGTTTCCCTGACGTCAACTTTGTGGCATTCTCCTAATGGGAAAACCACGGCACGATTCAGTAGCGAAAAAAAATCAGGAGTTTATGAGCGGAATCTCCTCGATAATTGACCAAGACTTGAGACACTCTCTAGATGAATTTGACGCAAAATTCAAATAAAACTAATAGAAATAAACAAACTACAATTTTTATCTTCAACGACAAAACCATTTTTTAAGATTTTATTGCCTATTTACTCTATTATTTTACCTATGTGTTTATTTAGGTGTGCAATTGTTAGTGTAATTTGTTGTATTCTCTTTGTATTATTAGAGTAGATTAAATAATTTTTGTAAAAAATAATCATTTGTACAAATTTGTACATACCAATCTTACACTGAAGATACCTGATTTTCGTTCTGCTAATTGCATTTCGTTTTGTGCAGTTTGTAACCTTTGTTCACTCTACTTCGAACGGGGAAATGGGTGTATACAGAAATGAGCTTTAGTTAATTGTATATTTTATTTTTTCTGTTGGGGAATGTTGTGAGTTGTTCATTTCGTTTGATCTATTGACCTTTGGTGTTGATTAGATACCTGTCAACTATGTTACAAATCGATCAACGGTCGATCATTTTATTGTTCGTGATAGTTTTAGAAGAGACATTTTCATTGACACATCATTGTTTTTATTCTTGTAATTCTTAGTTAGTGTACATAGATTGTACATATTCAGGTTTAACACATGGATGTTGTTCGACCGAAAATCCATATTCGAAAACACAATTTTCCGTTGAACAATATTTCAAACACATAGTCGAAACATAGTTGATCACCAGGTCGAACACATTTTCCTTTGGCTGAGTCGGCCGAAACATTTCCAGTTTGGGTCGAGTCGGTCGAAACATAGCCAACTTGGTTCGAGTCAGACGAAACATAACCAACTTGGTTCGAGTCGGACGAAACATAGTCATTAGTCGAGTCGGTCGAAATATAAGTCGAACTTCTCAATCCGGGTAAGCAAAACGTCAAAGTTGTCAGCAGCATGCAATCAACAAGATGGACCATTATCGAAACTTTTTGTGAAATTGAAGTTATTTCAGTTATTGAATTGAATTATTATTTTTTTATTTGAAACCAAATCCAGACTAGCGTACCAATTAGAGGATTGATGGATCGATTGTGTTGATGGCTGTCAAAAAAAAATCTTTTTCCATTGTTCTGGCAAGTGTCGAGCTTGTCTGCTCTGTTTGTTTGTTGTTTACTTGGCGATCTGTATGACCTTTGAATTGTTGTATCAAATTAGCTATGCCATTGAGCCAAACAGCTTCAATCAACTGATTTGGAAGGCCTTGAAGTACATGCAAACAATAATTAACTTTATTATAACTTTATTACTACTTAATTTCATACCTTATTTTCCAACCTTTCTCTGTCATCTCTATCATTTATTTTGTAGATCGCTGTTATTTACTTGTTTTGAATTTGTTTGCCATCAACCAAACTAACCCAAATTTCATAACTTTTATATATCATGGCCATCGAGGAACTTTTGTTTGACAGAGATGACTTCACGAAGAAATTGGGCTTCCAGCTTTTCGCTGAAGCTTTTGGCACTTTCATTCTCGCTTTTATGGCCCAGGCTTCAGTTATCACAGGTGAGCGCCATTCTTTCATGGAAGTGATGATACATTATGAAGGATGGCTGGTGCTATTATTTTTTGAAAAATAAAAAAAACATTTGAAACCAAATTCAAAAACGCTGTTGCTTTCAAAGATTTGAAGTCACGTGGCTTAAGGTTCAATTATACATATGCAAGGTTTTAGGTATGCAGTTATCCAGCTAATCCACAATTGAAATTGAAGTCTAAGCATGTCATTTATTGAAGATAAGAGCATCTAAAGAAAGTTAGTTCTTTTTAATCTTCGTTAGAAACTTTTGGTTTATTTTCACGCATTAATTGATAACATTTTTGTTCTCTGAAAATTTTTATGGGGTCTTTCACTTGATTTTTTAAGGACCTATAATTTAAGTATTGTCATAAGTGATCTTTTAACTTAACGGTGATCTTTTAACCTTTATGTTGCTCTTGCTCAAAACTTAATTTAGATTCGATACCTGCTAAAAACTCATCGGCTTTTGGCACAACTGAGCTTTAGTCAGTGTAAGTTTTTAAAAAACTAATTTTCAATTCAACTTTGCATCGAATTCTATGTTTTATCTAGCTCAGTTATCTTAAGCCAACGCCTTTTAATCTAGTCTTAGATAAAAGTCTACTAGTAAGTTTAATAGAGATCCATTATCGTATCTAGTCCTAAACTAGTCTTACTTTAAGTACCCCAACGTCTTAACATCATCATTTTTTTTATCTGTATCATGGTAATTTTATAACATGGCTCAGTGAAACGAGTCGAACCTACGAGGTCTAGAGTTCTTCTGGAACAACGCATTAAGCGAGAACGTTCAAAACTGGGAAAATGGGCGGAAAAAACTCAAGTAACAATTATCTCTAAAGATTCGTGGATATCGAAGATCTAATTAATCCACCGGTGAGATCCGAATTATTATACCCTGTCCTAGAAACCGTCGGGCAGAAGAAGAAGAACGATACAAACAAGCATTACAAGCCTACAAGAAGCAAGAAAGCGGAACACAACGCAAAATTTAATGGCATACAAATTGGTGACATCGACAAGGAATTAAAATCACGACTGTACTTGATATAATACTTGATATAAATTTTGCAGAATTTTGGGGATTACTAAGAACTACATTCACGATAACTACAAATTTGACGTACTAAAGATACAAATTGTTTGGTCGTAGATATATAAAGATCATGAGTCATTAGAAAAATTTCACAAAGTCCTTTCAGAACTGGCAAAAAAATTGCAAACTGGGTGGGTGAATTAAAGACCGAATAAGTCAGATATATCTTTATTACGAATATGAGAAATGTAGAAATCCAGAAAAATTGTGCAACGATTATCTAACCCAAGAAATTGTGTTCGCCTAAGTACTTATAAAAGACATATTCCTAGAGAAAGCAGCAGTTGATGAGATTACCAAGGCTTTGGGAGCATTATAAAAATCATCGCATTTGTCAGAGTGCGGATACAGTCGAAGGGATGGGAGGCCACAAATCAACAACTATTTATTACTTAAGGGGCAGAAAGAAACCTATTGATAAATGACATCCTTCCGAATTTGGGAATGAAGGTCTCAGAGAAGAAGGCTCTGCCCACAGTGTCAGGCGCATGAAAGATCCCGGGTAAAACACTCGTCGGGATAGAAGTAAACCAGGAAAAAAATTTAAGTTGACAGTCAACCCTGCCAACTTCTCGACACGCCACTCAAACGTGATTTCAAACTGTATATCCAATCGATTTCCAGAACTTTTGAAAAGAACAGGGAGGTCAAAAAAAATTATCGTGAAGACATATTTTAACGAACCGTTAAAACCATTACAGGTAAAGGTAAGCGTATACCAATACATCTACTCCTGAAAGTGAAATTATGTAATGGTCAGTTACTTAGCGAGGGACATTTTGAACAACTGTCCAGATGTTCAGAAGATTGTTTTGTTTCACCCATCTTCATGAAAGCCAACCGGGTCAATTAAACTGGCTCTTAACTCATATCTACTACTCAAACTAATATTTCGCAACAGATATCGAATGCACAAGTTGTTTGAACTAATTGATAACGTCGCCTTATCAATAAGGGGTCACGACGAAAACAAAAAAACCTGGTTCTCATCTATCGGCCTAAGTTTTGCATACCGTCAGATACCACAGTAAAAAAAAAACAATTGACCAATGCAGTTCTAACATTGTGGGAGGAGATGTTACAGGCTCATACCGTTTTAAAACGGGATTTTACAGATTAGCCGATGTGCCGAATGAATTTCAACGTATTATGTACCTTCTAACGGAAAAACTACCCAATACACACTGTTACTTAGACAAAATTTCAATCGCGACAGTAGGTAGCTCAAAAGAACACTGCAGATTAATTTTTGACGTTGTAAAAACTATGGACGACAATTGACTAGCCCTATAATGGGGGAAAATTAAATTTTTGACCTAGCACATAGAGTGGTTGGATTCAAAATCGACGCGAAGGGGACTGCGCCTTTAATCCCAATTTGGACGCAATTAGAAACGTGAAAGAACCGCTATGTATCAAGGAGATAAGATCTTTAATGGGCCCAATCAACCATATCAATATCTTCATCCCAAACTTAACATCCTTATCTACACCGTTTAGGGAACTAAGGCAACAAAAAAAACAGTTTAATTGGTCGGAGGTACTTTTCGCTGCGTTCGAGAAAACCAAGAAGCAATTTTGTAATACGGTAACAAACCACCATTTCAACATTAAACTTGATACAAGAAAAAAATGCGATGCTTTACATTAAGGATTAGGTGCCTCCCTCGAGCAAGACCACGGGCAGTCTGAAAAATGGTAGCGTTCGCGAGTAGGTTCCTCAGTGTTGCCGAAATAAAGTGCAGCACGAACGAACTCGAATTGTTGGGTTTAGTTTGAGAACTAGACCATTTTGACAACTAACTTTTGGGCAAACACTTTTCTATTCTTACCGATCATAGAGCATTACTAGGTCTGTGAAAGGCGATACGAAGACAGTCCAATCTCACCCCACCAGCTGTGCAGATAAAATTTTACCATATTATTTTAGAGTCGAACCTCTCCCATTTAAGTAAATGGGATTTGGGGTCAACCTTTCTAGACACCCATCGGGCCAGTTTTGTTATCGCCGCCGTAAATCATGTTGGCCCTTTTTTAGGCTTTGAAAAATTGATACCTAGATATTCTCATTTGCATATAAACGACAAATTTTGGCAACAAACATGACTTTGAATACTGCAATGGGATCGGTCAATCGACTAATGACATGACAACACAAGAATGTGAACGTGAGAAGCGAATTGAGAACGCTGCAGACATTTTTGCGAACTTTATTTACGCATTCCAAAATCTCAGGGTGTCAAAACTTTCACTAGCGAACAGAAGATTTTATTCAATTTTGCCAAGCAATCAATTTTTCAAATAATTATACAGTTCCTAAAAATGTCCGATCAAATAGATTAGAAGGAAAAATATGCTACATAGGCTACATGAAGCTGATCCTGACCAATTCGCAATAAAAATTTTGGCAACCCTTTACATCTGGTGGCCGAAAATTTACTGAGAAACCCTGTTGGCAAGAAACAATTAAAAGTTCACGGAAAGAGCTGTATCGATAGCGTTGAAGCAGGTAAAAATTTGAAACCTCTTTCAAAACACGAAGATCTCGGAAAGCTCCCATAGGCCGTAGATCCAAATCAAGAAATAGTGTTAGACTTTGACGGCCCGCTACCTTTAACTTGGGGAACATAATACATATACTCGTGTGCGTAGACCGATTCTCAACATTCGCTTCGGCGCAAAAAACATCTAGCACATCTGCTAAATCCGTCGTAAACTTTCTTAGAAAATGTACAACTCTGCACGGATTACATCGAAAATATAGAACAGGAAAGGTTAATGTTATCTTCAGCCCAGTGATTGACCACAGAGCTATAGGAATGGTTGAACTCTTGATTCGAACAATCAGAGAACAATTTATGATCATGGCTCAAGAAAAGACAAAAACCCTTTTTAGAAAAACCCTAACTGAAAAAAATTAGATGTTTAAAGAGTGTAAGTAACTCAACAATCACTAAACTGTTCTCCTTTTGAAGCACATTTCGGTAGATAACTAAAGACTATTTGGCACAACCTGGTAAATCTTTTACCTTCAAAAAACTTGGATTAGAACAAAATGCTATTAAGTACAGAGAAAAGAAGAAAACTAATGTGCCGGAACAGACGACTTGACTGGGACGCTTCTGATGATATAGAAGACGGTCACTTGGACGACGAATCCTCCTCATCAGACGACCTTCCAAACGCTACCAGATGCGTGCCAACAAGCTCGGGCTCTCCAGTGAAAATTTTTTTCCGCTCAGAGAAACAAAAAGCTCTAGGTATGGCCAACCCCGTTCATGTTAACCCATCGGGAAAGACCCTTACCTAATGAAAAGTTCAAGACAGAAAAAAGGACGAATCATACCATAAGGAACTTGAAGAAGAAATCGTAATGGAATCGGATCATGCAATAACTCTCAAAAGTGAAAAGACCTACAGAAACGAAAAACGCGAGCCCTCGTAAGAAGAATCAACTAATCAATTTGTATGCCACAGAAACACCTGGGAAAGTGATGAAACCAGCCAGAAACATCGGATTTAAAAGCTCGAGGACAATTCAAAAGAAAAGGAGCCTCCAGGCTAAATTCGAAAAAAAGACATCGCTAGAGGAAACGCAGCCACGAATAGTTCGAGGGAAACTTTGTTATGAGAGGAAGAAGAGGAGAGAAAACGATTTAGATGTTCTATTAGATTAGAGGGTAACCAAGATCTTATCCCGTCGGGACAACCCAGCCGACTACTATCACCAGACAAATCAGACATAAAACTCGCAAATATGTCATGTAAACAAGCTCGGATGACAACTCTAGCGACCTTATACTACTCAAAGATCTTAAGCCACTTACTAGAACGATTTAGAAATTTACAGGATAACACAGTTCAAGACCCAGCGATAATTGAAAATGG